CCTCTTGTACTAGAGCCTTATTACCGTAAGATACATTCTCAAGAATGGGGTGGCTGGTAGAATATGTATACTTTTAATTGTTAAAACTATTGCCATTAAACGTTCCGAAAGGTTTTAGTAATTTTTATTCCCACCAACAACATAAAAGTTCTCTCTTAATTTTCATTCTTGCCAGCACTGGGTATTCTTACTCTTCAACATTTGTTGCCAATAAAATAAGTAAAAAATAGCATATCATTATGGTTTTAATTTGCCCTTTAACTTTCCTTTATTGGAAAACAAAATTCAGCAATTTATCAAAAACAAAAAAAAATATCGAGTTGGGTTTATACTACCAAATGCAAGCTTTCTTCATCATTAGAAAATCCATTGATGCAATTCATCATTATCAGCAGATCAAGACAAAAGTCATATAACCATTTTAATAGATACAGCAAATGCATCTAACAAAATATACTGTGCACCCACGACAGAATCTCCAGCAAACGGAAATAAAAGAACAGCCTTTTAATTTTTGTGTAGTAAAATTGATTCATTTGATATTAATTTTTTTAATTAAAAATTATTTTAAATATTTACCATTCACTTGGTTCAAAAATTAAAACGTATCAGAAGGTTTATACGGAAAGAGATTTCCTCTCTTGTCCCCTATCTGCCCAGTTCCTACCACCCTCCCCCCCACCTTGTAGCCACTATTAGTTCCTTAGGTGTTCTTTTAGAGTCACTTTTTACATATACAGGCAGATATGAGTACATATCCTCTCATTTTACACAAATGATAACATAGTAACATAGTATCACAAATGATTTACACAAATGATAACATAGTATCATAGCTCTGTCATTCATCTTGCATTTTTCATGATGGTCTTTTTCTAAGGATAGAAAATTTTGCTCATTTCTGAAAGCTTTCTAGCTACCTTCCTGTTCTTTTCTCTTGTTTTAAACTGTCGAACTCCTCAAATGTGGGACCTTACGTCTATTCGCTAGTTGTGGTCTAGTTTCTCTCTCATCACCCTCCCACAAACATTCACAGGGTAAAAAATACTGAAATTGCTCTCTTAAAGATCACCAGTGTCTGTGTTCCTCTTATTATAACCCAGGGCTGTTTTTATCTTTGTCTTTCTTGATACTTTTGCTGTTCTTGGTCCTAATTACATATCCATGGTTCTTGGAAGTCTAACACTTTGTGTTTTCTTCAGTACATTCAGTTTAAAGGGTTCTTCCAAAAGGTGGTAAAAAATAAGAAAAGGATTGTAGAGGCATAGAGTCTGGAGGAAAGATATTCTGCTAATAAGATTTATCACTTAACCAATCTAAAGGAAAAGGATTTATTCTCTGTGGCTCTTGAAAAGAGAGCTAGTACTTTGGGAGGTGCTATGATGTAGGGGAAGGGAAAGACCATGAATTTGAGAACCCACATTTGAATCCTGACTCCACCCTGTACTAGCTCTGTGACCTTGAATAGGTCACATAACCTTTCTGAACTTTAGTTTCTTCCTCTATAAAAGGTGATATAAAGGTGATATAAAAAGGTGCTAATTAAATGAAAAAATATATATAAAGTGCCCAGTGTAGTCACTGCAACATTTTAATTACTAGAGGTTTGTTTTCATTCCTGGGCTCATAGGACCAGTGAGTGGGAGTTACAGGGAAGTAGATTTTGGCATAATGAAGGGAGAATTTCCTAAAAATTAGGGCTTACTGTTGAACAGGCTGTATCTAACACAGATAAATCTGTCATTGCTTGCTGTTGAGGAAACTCATTCCTGGACAGTGTAAGTAAATAATCTGTATTGGTTACTGGAAAATAAAGGCGAATTTTGAAGCTTAGTTTGAATAATTGTGTGAAATATACCATCCTAATCTTGATCTGTTTATTTTCTCTAATCCAAATATTGCATTTCCCCTTATTCTGTATATTAAAATCAACTTTGAGATACCATTTATATACAGTAAAATTCACACATGAGTGTATAGGTGAATGACACCCATGTAACTACCACTCCAACCAAGTTAGAGAACATTTGATTCTTATAAGTCACCTCAAAGGCTTTATACATGAGGTACAGGGCACAAATACGAGTAAATAAAAATATCAAATTTTGATAAAAGGAAGCCCAGTTTTAATAGAGCAACAAGATAGATTCACAGAATTTATAGATTTGAGGTATCCTGCTACTAGCCTTCATGGAATGGGTGATTGCTGGCAGGAAAGTTATCTTTGTGGAGCACGTATCAAACATGACGGACTATTTAGGCTTATCAAATCCATCAACCTTTACTCCTTTTGATAAGTGATATAGTCAAATGATATAATGATATAATCAGATGTGATAAATGATACAGTCACATGACTTAAATGAATATCCATAGCACTTAAATCCTGGAAGCCTGTGCCTGGGCACGTGTTTTTTTTCCAGGTGGCTTTTTTGAAGGAGGAGATGTGGGGAAAGCATGGCTACGAAGCTGTGACAATGGTGTTGAAGAACAGAGCTTTTCCCTGTGTTCACAGTATCCTTGAGAGGAAATGGGGTATATCTTTTAGGTGCTAAAGAAAGTATTTTTGACACTTGCTAACTTCATCAAAAAGCCTTTAAAATGAAGTTTGAGAAAGGAGAAAAAATTCCAGATCAATACTTAGGGAACATCCCATGGAGTAAAATGATAAGTGACATAGGAGATGATCAGAAAAGGACATGTCTGTAACTCACAGGAGAACAGGAGGAACAGCTGCTGAAGATGCCAGATGTTTCTGAATAATAAGTACCCGTCGTATCTTGACACAAGTAGGGTAATGATACAGTCTTTTGTGTGCCACTGAGAATTGGTGAGGTAGGTTCATGACTAGGCATTTGCTTACTAGAAGCATTGTACTAAGTAAGCACTGCTCATCTAATCCTTATAAAAATATTATGAAGTAGACATAAGTGGTCATTTAGCCCCAGTTTGAAAATGAAACTGAGGCTGAAGAAGGTCGAGTATTTGGAGTCAGTAGTCAGCTTTTGCTGTTGAGTTCTACATGTCTCAAGACCAGTGACGTGACGTGGTATAACTTAATTGCTTTTGCTTACTAATTTTGCTTACTAATTTACTCTCCTGCTCTCCTATGCTGTCTTGATTCTCGACTTTCCCAGGACCGTAGTGTGAGCTTGTTCACTTTTACTACCTAGCTCCCTCACACAGAATACAAAAGAGAGTGTGAGTCACGGTTACAGTTGGCATGAATCTGTTGTGATACTCCATTAGGTACATGACAGTTCTACTTGTAAAGAAAAATGACAGTGAGGTATAGCAACAGTTATCGTACTCTTCCAACTTTTAAGTGATATTAGCAGCCATATACTTTACTAAATTATCATCATTTATGCATAATGTCACTCATTTTGTTTTTCACTGTCTGCTTCATTTCCTCTCAGTCTCTTTCATCAGCAAAGCCAACTTAAATTTTGCTTGATCTCGTTTCAGTGTACATATAGCACCCCTTCCAGTTTCCTATGTACTTGCCTGTCTTTTTCATTTTATCTTACACTACATCTCCACTGTCATATGCATTCCAGCCTTGATAAATGACTTGTGATGTCCCAGATGTCTTTTTCATATCTTGGAACCTCTCCTTGTCTGCCTGATTTCGTAGTATCACCTCTGGAAAGCTTCCTTAGGGCAAAGTATTTTCTTTTTGTGTGATGGTTTTCTTCACGTACCTGGTGATTTTTGATGAAGGTTTAGGTTCTAGACTCTAGGGTGATTAATGTAGGTAGCTGGAGTAAGTTTCCTCCACCTTTGCAGAGATTTCTTTACTCAGTAGACTCCTGCCTTGAATGGGAGGGCTGATGCAGAGCTCTGGGAGTGTGAAGGGTGTTGATTGGCAGGCTTCACTTTAGGGTGTGATGGAGGCAGCGGCAGTAGTTGCCAATATGAGGGGCTTTGGGGGCAACCAAACCCATTGCAGGAATCTGCTAGCCTTCTGTGGAAGGTTTTGTTTCTTTAGAGGATATTTCTTTCATTTTAGGCTAGATTAAAAGCAGCTGCTATCTGTGGCCTTGTGGCACAGGGATGGGAAGTGGGTGCATCGGTTGCATAGCTATGCTTTTTCTGTTGCTTAGGCAGTCTTTTCCCCGCATGCCTTTTTCTGATCCTCCCTGCTCTGATCTTGAAGCCTCACCAGAAAGGACAGCACATACATCCATTTAAGAACTCTCACGTTTCCTCTTGGGTGTGGCTCTTTTTGCTCTTGTTAATTCCTCAGCTCTGAATAGAATTATTAACTTCTTTCCTGAGTTTTGGGGGGGGGGGTGGCTAAAAGGGGCAAACACATCGGCCTAGTCTGAGTCTGTCATTTTGAAATCCTGAACCAGAGGTTCTGTTGACAACTTTGAGCATTTGAGATTTTTAAAATTTAAGCAAACTTATATAAAGAGTACATTATTGATTGTTTCCCAAGAATCGATAGAACAGTTTGGAATGTTTATAGAATGTGAAAGTACTGTAATGCCGAAATACATCACCTATTTAATGAATAACTTGTGTTCTACAAATATTTTTAAAGCTGTTTAGAGGGAGGAAAGCCAAAGGTACCCCTAGATACCTGGCAGGAGAGGATTGTGGGGAGGTCTCAGGCATTGCCATTGGCTACTAACTGACCACTGGGGCCAGTAGCAAGGTCATTCCAACTTACACGATGTTGTTTACATTCTAGAGTTGGAGGGAATTGCTCGTTTCCCAGTGTAAAGTTTGCTAATTTTAGGTTGTTTTCCTTGATATGACATTAAGATAAAAGCCCTATGACTACTTGTGCTTTATTTTTTTAAAAAAGTGAATTGTACTGCATAGTGGCTGTGTATCGTTAGATTTAGGTTGCGAGTTATGTTTTATTTCAATGAATGATAAAAGAGTAATTTGCCATTTCTTGTAATAAGAGTGAAAATGAACCTGTATGCAACATTATTTCTTATTTCTTAATACCTTTTGGGAAAGTTAATTGCAACTGTGTGGTTCAGGGATTTAGTGCAAGAAGAAGAACAGTTGATGGAAGAAAAGAAAAAGAAAAAAGACGACAAGAAAAAGAAGGAAGCTGCTCAAAAGAAGGTAGTATATGTATAAACTATTTATATTAAGCAGTTTAAACATAGACTGAAAAAAGTTACTCTTATCAGATTTTTTAAAAGCATTTGATTTGATGTTTTAACTTCAATGGAGATTAATTTAATATTTAATGTCTTTGAATATGCATATAAAGTAGTTTGCCAAGCTTGTACAATTTAATGCATACTTATTTAATCTTGCCTATAGTTTCTTAAAGGTAAGTACATTATATAGTTCTTTATCTTTCAATTAGCCATCCCTAGGTGTTTTATAATACATCATTTTATAAGCAGGCAGAGCATGGAATTTGTAGCTATGTAGAGAAGATTTGAAACGTCATTTTCCTACATAGCACATAGAATGGTGTTGCCTTAAATTTATTTAGCCTCTCTGGGCCTTAGTTTCCTTATGTTTTGCAAAATGAAAGTTGAGGTGAAATAACAGTACATATACACAATAATGCACATACTAGGGGAATGCAGTATTAAAGGAAATAGTAATGGACATAAGGAAATAAAGTGTCAATTTCATTTTCCTTTTTTATTTAGTACCTGAGCTGATTTTTAAAATTGCAGTTAATATTAAGATACTTTAAAGTAAGCCTGAGACATTACATAAGAGGCAAAAATAGAAGACTGTGTCCATAGTTATAAAGATTTTTACAAGTTGTTAATACTAAAGACTGGTGACAGTTAACTGGGCACTCATTTCCTACTGTATCAACATTTTAAGGACCTTAAAATGTGCTAAAAGACCCAGTGAAATTACTGTTTCATTTCTCTACTGTAATGAAAAATTATTACTTTAATTTTAAATACTCATTTGTACCTCTTTTGTGCCAGGCACTGTGCTAGGAACTGGATATAGACTATAGCAGCATTCTTATCTCCACATTATTTAATAGGGAAAAACTACTTAATAGTTTTTATTTAATATAAATATTTAATAGGATACAAAACTATGGTAGATGAGGCATTTATTTATGGGGAACTGTTGAAGCACAGAGAGAGGTGCATAACTAAGCCTAAAATGGGATGGAGGGACAGGGAAATTCTCATAAGATAGAAATTAGGTGAATAAGGAGCAGAATAAAAAATCATTCCAAGTAGAGTAAACTTAGAAGCAAGCATCTGTATGTGTTAAAGTATGGGTTTTGATTGGGGGGTGGGGTGTGCAGAGGGAGGCATAGGTAGAAATATCAGGATACAGGAAAAGTTGGTGATAACTGTAGGCTCTTCTTGAGGCTTTGACCATTGGGGCAGATGCTGAAGATGTTTTGGTAGCATGACATAAAAGTTTGTATTTTAGAATGTTTACCTTGGAAGCTGTGGAACTGGGCTGGAAGGGGTAGATACCGAGATTGGAATACTGTGAAGGAACTGTTAAAATAATCCACAGAATTTGTTTCAAGGATATGAAGGGACAATGACCTAAGTTGACTCTTACGATCCAGATTGAGTGACTAAGTACATTTTGGGAGCAGTTAATCCGGTTAGGGAATATAAAGAAAGGGAAAATGATGAATTCCTTTTTGGAGGTGCAGAGCTTAGGGTCTTGTCAGCAAGTCTTATGGGAAGAGTTAAGTATGAGATCAGAGGAGGTGATAGGACACCCTGGTTGTCTGCCTTTTGGCTGTTCTTAGGGTCACTGGGAAGGGATGCGTAGGTATGGGTTGTAGTTAGGGTTTGGGTAAGTTTTTTAGTGTGGGGTTTTGGCATTGACTGATGCCGTGGGCCTCTGTCAGAGGTCTGTTTACATAGGACAGTCTTTGCAGTCTGGTGAGTCTTTGGTCAGGATTTGTTATGAAAAACTTGTGTCCTGTAAGTCTAAGGTTGGAGGAAAGGTTATCAGACTTTTGTTCCTTGGTGTAAAGGCCATTTGCCCAATGGCTTCTAAGAAACATAAGAGGTTTATTGAGGAGTAGTTTGGCAAGCATCCGAGTGTTGGATTAGGTGGGCCCTGTGTCTAAGGAGTTCAAGATTGAGCTGCTAAGTCAGAATGTATGTGAAATGGCTAGAAAAGAGGCCTAAGACAATATAAGTGTATTTCTCTGGAATTTACTCTATATACTGAGGAAATTCTCAGAAAGGGAGGGGTGACTTAGAATGATTTCTTTAAATATTGTATTTTTCTTAGTATAATTTTTAACATATACAAATAATGGGTCTAATTGTTAAAGTTCATCTTTACATTCTTTCATGATTAAATCTTTAAGTCACCAAGTCAGTATAGGAGGTCCCATATGTGTATCCAGCATACATTTGCCTCTAACACATGAAGGTGTTTATCGTGCCATTTGGCTTCTCACTAAATCTGAAGTGACATCTTTTCATACTCTTTCCTCTCTTCATCCCTGCCTCACCCCATAGTTCCAGTCTCTCACCCCAATCATATCCTACTAGAATCATCATCAGAGGCTTATAGATATAAGGAGTTCTTTTTTTCTTTTGCCAGGTCTTTAGTACTGATAGGGTATTCTTGTGTATCCCATAGACACATAGTAATATCTACACTATGAATGCAATGTAAAGGAAAATTTAATACCTCTAATGTTAAGTTTAATAGGCTAGGCTGCTGCTGTAAATAAGACTGTTGTCCGGATTTCAAATAACAAACTCACAGCTGAATTTGAATATAACCTGTTGGTGAAGTGAGGACAGCTGGTATTTTCATAGACTTACCAAATAGCTCTTTAAAAAAAAAGAAGAGGAACTCCCAAATTGGCACACTTATAACCCATATGAAAGATTGTGAGTCACAGGAGTTTAAAGACAAGTTTCCTGGAGCTTATCTTTTGTCTGTAGTAGAAGCCAGCAGGTATATTCAGGCAGGTGACAGACATCTATATGAGCCAGATGGGCAGGCCCATTTATACAAATGTTGGAACATAAACTTACTATGGTAAAAAGTCGGCTTGCTTTATGTAATCTATATACTTTTATTCCTGAGAAAGACTTCAGATATTATGTGTTCTAATCCATTCATTTTCAATATAAGGAGCCTACACATTAGAATGAGTTAAGTAGCTAACCTTGGTTTCATCATGGTGACAGAGGTAGGAATAAAATTGAAATATTCTAACTCGTCCAGCTGGTGCTTTTCCTAAACCTTGTGCTGTGGCTTTATCCTTTTGATGCAGAACATTATCTTATACTTTTGCCTTATTTTATACCATCTAAAGGTGAACTTTAAAATTGGAAAATAATATATTATGCTAATTTTTATAATAGGGCATAAAATAGGTCCTTATGCCATGAATACAGAAAATATATAGATTGTATATATTGTATATCAGTCACCACCAGCCATTGTGGTCTTTTAAAGAAATTCAGATTCAGAGATGGGTTATCTTCTATTTTAAATAAAAACCAGAAAACACAACTTCTTATATAAACAATTAAACACCAGCAGTGCTTATCATAATATTTTTACTATGGTAGTTTTTCTTTTCCTATCATTTAAATATAAATTTAAATGTTAAGATTCTCCTTTAAAGAAATTTACGTAAAAATTATATTTCAGCTGCAGTACATCTCTAATTAATATAGAGATCAGTGACTGGGTACCTCTGATATTAATCTTTTTTGAAAAATCTTTTAATAAAAGGCTATGTATAACACACTTTTCCACTACACATCTGAGAATCAGGCTATTTACTTATCTTCTGATTCTCAGGCTTAGAAAATAATGTGACAGAGCATGGGAAGGTAGTTTCCATACTTTAAAAAAGAGGGCAACAATAGTGGAAGTAAGTTCCCATGGATTTCTCCCTCAGGTTCTGTTTTTAGAAAAAATTTCTCAACAGTATCTTAGGGGAAATGTAATGAGGAGGAAAAAGGAGGTTAAGAAATAGGTTAATTATAGAGGGATAATTGAATATAACCTTTGCTTTTAAGCACATAATTGTAGTTCCTAGAAAGCATATAATGGTTGAGGGCTGGGAAATAAGCAACAATACAAATTGGGATCTTTTGGTGTTGAGAGTGTTCCAGCACACATGGGTTTTTTGTTGTTACTGTGTTAAGAGCTGAAGGGATTTTTATAGGCTCTGTTGATTTAAATGTACTAAGTTCAAGTTTAAAGGAGATTTAGGTTGTAAAAAATTTCCAACTTCATTTCCCTTTTTGGGGATCATATTCAGTAGTCTAATTACTAAATTTTCTCAGTAACCTCAGTGGTCACATGACCAGGCCTAGTGCTGTGCACTCGTCTAGGGCAGTTAGCTGTTAGCTTACGGTCCTGCCCTTTATTTCACCTTCCTTGTCTCTTTTCCTCAGTTTTCAAAAGCTCATTTCATTTAGCAGACCTGGGTTCTAGACTGGGTGCTTCTTGCTAAACCATAGGAAAGCTCTGTGAGCATGAATTATCTCATTTAAAATAAATGGATTGAACTAGGTTAATCCTTTATTCCTAATGTTAAATTATGATACCTGGCACTAAGATATTGCAGATGATTAGAAAAAGAGAAAAACAAACTTGGCAACAGGGAATAAGTGTAGAGTCAGCTTATTTCCAAATGTGAGAGAAGAGGCTGAGCCAACACACGGGTAGATGGGGCTGATGAAGCAACAGCTGATACCTGCTGAATGCATCCTACATGCTAAGTGCTGTCCTACGTGCTTTATGTGAGTTAAATCTCTTTAACCTCACAATTCTGAAGTGGGTATTTTTGCCCTGTTTTATAGATGAGGAAACTAAGCTGGGTAAAGTTAACTAATTTGACCAAGTATAAGTGGTAGAGCCAAGATGCAAATCCCGAGCTCTCTTTTTTTTTTTTTTTTTTTTTTTTTTAAAGATGACCAGTAAGGGGATCTTAACCCTTGGCTTGGTGTTGTCAGCACCACGCTCAGCCAGTGAGCGAACCGGCCATCCCTATATAGGATCTGAGCCCATGGTCTTGGTGTTATCAGCACCGCACTCTCCCGAGTGAGCCACGGGCCGGCCCTAAAGCCTGAGCTCTTAACCACTGATGTGTGCTGGGGGAACTTGGAGCTGAGATGAGCAGTGCAGAGCCTGACAGAAACAGAGCACCCAGCGTGCTGTGTCTGCCACTGTCTGATGCTTCATTGAGTTGAGACAATTTTGATAATTACTTGTAGAATCACAGCTCATTTTTTTAAGGAAAAAAACCATGAAAAATGGAAATCATTTTGCTTCTAGTTTGCCAGAATCTTTTCGTTCTCTTGTGTAAGAGGATCTACAATGATACATCGCATTTGAATAGTGTTGTATAGTTTTTCCAGAAAAGTTCTTTCATATTTTATTTGATCCTCATAATAGCCCTGAAAGGTAAGCAGGACAATTGTTTTCTCTGTTGAGGGATTAAGAAACAGACCCAGAGGGGTTAAATAACAAGGTCATTTAAAAGTGAAAATAAATAGTTGACGTTAATGTTAATATAATTTTATGTAACCTAGTGTAGCCAAAATATTACTATTGTAACATGTAATCAGTATAAAATATTAATGAGATAGTTTGCATTCTTTTAAATACTAGAAATCTGGTATGTGTTTTGCACATTTCAATTTAGACTGTTCACATTTCAGTGGTTAGTAGTAGCCACATGTGGCTAGTGGGTATTGTTTTGGACAGTGCAGACAATTACTCTTTTTTTTTTTTGGCGTCTGGCCGATACGGGGATCCGAACCTGTGACATTGGTGTTATAAGGCTGCACTCCAACCAACTGAGCTAACTGGCCAGTTCACAGTGCAAACAATTACTCTTAAAATCACTGACTTCACTTGGAAAATAATTTTCAGTAATTTGAGTAATGTACCAGCTTCCCAGACCAACCTACAAAAACCCATTTTAAAGAAATGGAACTCTATCAGTTCTACTTCCTCTTACTCAGTTAGGAGCTCTTGATTTCTATTATTTACATTTCTTCACTATGTTAGGACAGTGTTCTGAGGGGCAGGCACCTTGAAGTATCTCTTTGGTGCCATTCTCTGTAGGTGACAGTGCTGAATGAGGTTACTGTTCTGAAGCAACATGGAGTTGTTTTTTCAAAGAAGTTGCATAGCAGATATCCTTTATGTTGTAAGGCCTAGAAGAATCAGCACTGTATACTTTGAGTTTTATTAATGTGGTCATGGTTTCTGTGTACTGAAACTTAAGTTTCCGTTTTGAGTAAACTGTGAAAGAGACCAGGAGAGTTAAGGGGGGAAAAAGGCTTCTAACGTGCAAAATAATTTTTGTACTAATTCTTTGGCTTCAGAAAATTATGTATCTGATTGTTTGACATGAGGCACTAGTACATAAGTGTTCATATACTGAGTTTTCTCTAGTAAGACTAATATTTTTCTTTTTTTTTTTTAATTTTTTTTTCCCCTTTTTTGTCTTTTTTCGTGACCGGTAACGGGATCGCAACCCTCGGTGTCGCGCCCATACCGTGACCGGCAACAGGATTGCAACCCTCGGTGTTGCACCCGCACCGTGCTCAGCCAGTGAGCGGACCGGTCTCTATATGGGATCCGAACCCTCTGCGGGAGCGCCACCTGCTCCCAAGCGCCGCACTCTACCGAGTGCGCCACCGGGCCGGCCCAAGACTAATATTTTTCTACACTCAGATTTAAAAAATGATTTCTCCCAGAAATAGATTAAGTGTTGTAAGGCTAGTTGGCTTGTCTTTTTGCATTGCCCTTCCTTTTTTTTTTTTCTTTTACACTTTGATCCATAGAGTAAAAGATGGGCCTCCATTATTTTGTGTATCACTAGTGCTCTACAGCTTGGTAAAGCACTTCAGTGCCTGGATCAACCCTCTGGCTCTCCAGGGAAAGATTAATGTTTGGTGTGGCTTCAATATTTGAGTAATTACTATAGTTTTTACCACGTATATAGTTACGTTGATAGAATTAAAATGGTGTTTTTGGTAACTTATAATTTTTTTTTTTTTCCTTTTTGTCTTTTTTCGTGTCCGGCAATGGATCGCAACCCTCAGTGTTGCACCCATACCGGACCGGGACCAGCAATGGGATCGCAACCCTCGGTGTTGCGCCCGCACCTCGCTCAGCCAGTGAGCGGGAACCGGTCTGTATGTGGGATCCGAACCCTTGGCGGAAGCGCGCCACCGCTCTCCCAAGCGGCGCACTGTAGCAGTGCGCCACCGGGCCGGCCCGGTAACTTATAATTTAATATGACTAAGCAAAATGAATTATCATGCTCCATGGCAGTTAAGAAAAGCTTTATCTTTGTTTAGGAACAATTCCTGGTTATTTAATTACTAATTTTTCAGTCTTTCTTCATCTACCCGCATATTCTTGTATCTTTTATTTTCAGGATTCCCATACAATTGGTCTTAGTTTTTTTTTTTTTTTTTTTTTTTTTTTTAAAATGGCCGGTAAGGGGATCTTAACCCTTGACTTGGTGTTGTCAGCACCACGCTCACCCAGTGAGCTAACCGGCCATCCCTATATGGGATCCGAACCCGGGGCCTTGGTGTTATCAGCACCGCACTCTCCCGAGTGAGCCACAGGCTGGCTCAATTGGTCTTAGTTTAAAGGTTGATTTTTTTTTGCTTGGGGTCTGTCTGTGGCTCTTTTTGAGGCCTTGGAAGTTTGAATTAGTCACCTTGAGGTACTACTCCTACTGTCCTCAAGCCCCTGTCTTCAGTGTGCTGTCAGGAAACAGTAGGAGCAGGCATTGGAAGGCAGTGAAAGCAGAGTTCATGTCAGTTTAGCTTCTGATCATAGTAATTTTAATTGTCAGATGTGTCAGAAGTGACAAATTAGTTTGAAAATTTTTTTCCACTCACAAATTACTTGAAAGTTGACTATGTTTAACTGTAGTAGCAGCCTAACTGCCAAGAGTTAAATTTATTACTAATTTGGCCAAAGTGATTATATGCAGCTTTTCTTACAGAAAATTTACTTCATCTTTTATTTATTGTAACAATTTTTGAAGCCGTTTAAATATATGCAAAACTTATCAAGTGTAAAAGTGACAGTTATATAAAAAATCATTTTAAAATTAGATTATAAGAGAAATACAGCTCCCATTTTTAAAATTATATACTGTCATACAGCGATGTATTCTATGCTTTGTGTCTAAGGAAACATTATAAAGTTTTTTTTATTAATAAACATAGTATCAGGGACAATGGGGCACATCTGTGGGAAAAGCATGCTTTCTTTGCATATCTTTTCCTATGCAGCTCATCTAAATGGCAAATTCCTTATTTAATAAAAGTGTATATGTCTTATACAATAGTAATGTTATGAGCATTTTATCATAACAATCCATTTCTTTCAGTTTCATATTTACATTGTTTTTTGTTTGTTTGTTTGTTTTTAGGCCACTGAACAAAAAATCAAAGGTACGTTGTTTAAAGCTACTTTTTATTATTTTTTTCATTAAAGCAAGGTTGTTTATATGCGTTTTTATTTGCCTCCAGGATGGAGAAAGAAGAGCATGAAAGAAACAGAGGGGTGGGAACATATTTCTTCAGAGAGATCGCCTTGGAGTCATCCTATGGGGTTTTATGGTTTACTGTGGTATGTTACCACATTTAGAATATATGGCCTCCTTATAACCCACCTTAAAACTGTCTCCTAGGATGAACACAACTTCCTAACATACTCCCTTGTTTTGAGTCTTTGGGCACATACAACTTTTATACAGTCTTCCACCTAAGTCTTCTTGTGGTGAGGCTATCTTGAGGACCCCACTCCATTTCTTGGTGGGTCCTGCCCGCTCTATTCTTTGTTTTCTGTATACTGCTGTCCCCCACTCCTTGTAGGCAGATAGTGTCATCAATTTCTATATTATCTCTTAGAATAGTAGATGGCTAAACTATGGTCATTGCACCAGGTTGAACAGCACCCAGAACACCCCAAGTGAAAGACTTCAGGGTGATAAGGAAACAGGAGTATAATTCCTCTCCGATCTCAAATTAGTAGTCCTTCACCCTCCCAGGAATTGACTCCTTGGTAATGAAACGTGTAAGGCTCTCCCATGCTGAACTTGTCAAGCGTCAAGATTCTGAATTTTGATTTTTAGCTATTTCAAAAGTATGACCTCTGCATTTGGTTGGTATGTGCAGTCACTCACAATACTGCCTATCTTTATTTGAGGTCAGCGTTAGTTAAGGTAACATTTATTAGGTGCAGTTGTAGAAGAGTAAATAAGAACAATTGTAGCTTATATTTTACTGGAGAAAGAGTTGAAATAGGAGTATGCACCCAAGCACAGTATAGTATAATGTGATTTGGCTACAGTGAAGAGTCATAAAGTTGTCCTGGAGCACACAAGCATCATAGCTTAACACAGGGGGTTAAGAAAGATCTCCTTGAGATTATGAATCTTAAATAAAAGATGAAATGGACAAAGAAAGAATGAAATGCCAAAGGGATGAGCATGATTCAAGGCACAGAGAAAAGAAATAATGTGATTATATGCAGTGGTGGTATGCCTAGAGCATTAAATATCCAGTGATAAATGGGCAGAGTTGTGGCTGAAGAAACAGATAGGGGTCAGGTCAAAGACGGCCTTTTGTACTATATGATCTTGTAGGCAGTAAGCCACTGAAGAGCTTAAACAGGGGACTGACATGGTTTGCTTTTTCTTTCTTTCTTTAAAGCTGTTAACCACTGTTCACAGAAAGTGTTGGCTGAAAGATGGGTAGGGATTTGAAAGGTGAGTTAAGAGAAGAAAAGCACTCCGGGCAGAGGCGGCAGGTGGACAAGAGCAGGGAGTATGAGTATGCAGCTTTTATCTCTGGCACAGGGGGCGGGAGAAGTGACAGAATATAGGCCAGCAGGTAGGGGAACCATAGGGCTTTGTGCTGCTTAGGGAATGGAGAGGCAGCAGAGATGTTTGCATTTAAAGTGTCATGGTCGTAAGCTGTGCTTTGGGAACATATGAGTATCTTTGTCAGTAGTGTCTAGTGTCACCAGTGGAAGCAAGATCAGAGCAGGGAGAGAAGGAATAGAGGGCAAGGCGGGTTTGGACTGAGGGCTTGGCGGTAGGCATAAAGGGTGGATGACAGGTGTGTGAAGTATAGTTTGACATGATTGGCAACTGGTGAGATCAGAAAAGGAAGTGAGGGGCTGGCCAGTTGGCCCAGTTGGTTAGAGCACAGCGTTGTAATACCAAGGTCAAGGGTTTGGATCCCTATACCTGTCAACTGCTGGGAAAGAAAAAAAAGATGAAGAGGAATTGAAGGTGATATTGAGGCTTTGAACCCGGATGTCTGAGACAGTTCGTTACATGGATGTGGAACACAGGGAGGAGCACTGCCAAATTAATTTTTCCAAAATTCCACCTTCCTCACACCACTCCCCTGTATAGGAATGTTAAGTTACTGTCCCGAGTTGTTTCTCCTTCAAGACCAACCTCTTCTGAGCTTTCCAGGCTCTCTTTAATCTGACCTCCTATAATCTAACCAACCTGTTTCCCATCACTTCTTTATACTTTTTATAGCATTTTTATCTCTTCCATGCTCATTCTTGTTTTTCTTCAGTCCAGTTTCCCAGCCAAGGCTGTCTTTATCATGCCTTTCAGCTTTTCTAAAGCTCTCAGAGTTTGTCTTCTAATGGGTTGCTCCAGCTTCCATTGATCTCTCCTTTTCCAGGTTTTTAGTATGTTATGATGGATGTTAAATTTCAGCACTTGATCCGAAGTGCCAGTGTATTCTAAGATTTTTGACTGACCCATGGATATTTGTTTCTTCAACATGATCTTTGAGTATCTACTGTTTATATCCTTTCCAAATGTAAATCATCCTTTTATATTCTTACATAAAATGACCCATATTTGGGTCTTCTTGATTTTGGATTTTCCACTACTCTGAGAGTGTTGAGTATATGAAAGTCAACTTCAAAATGCATTGTTGTTTTGCTGCTGATCACCTACTTCATCCTGCTTTTGATGGTGGCTCCCTTCATAATTGGTCATACTTTTCTGATCCATGAAAATGTATCTTTTTATTTTTGTGACATGTATATGTCTCTGTGGTGCTCATGGTTTTGGGTTCACAGTGATTAGAGATTACAAGCTGGAGAGTTGAGGGGCAGGTTTGGCCCACACAGTGGTAGTGGTGTTTGCTGCTAAATGTTTTGTTTTGGGTTAATTTTAGATTTGCAGAAAAGTTGAAAAGGTAGTATTGATAGTTCCCATATACAATTCAGTTAGTTTACTCCATTAGTAACATCTTACATTACCATGATACATTTGTCAGAACTAAGAAACTGACCTTAGTACTCACTAAACTTCAGACTTTCACCAGTTTTTCCATTAGCAATTTTTTGTTCTAGGATCCACTGTAAGATGCCACAATGCATTTAGGTGTCAGGTCTCCCCAGTCTTCTCTGTTCTCCACAGTGTTTGTTTTTATTATTATTATTTAAATATTTAATTGATTGCTACCATTTAAAAGTCAGGAGAGTCTATTTTAGAGTTCCAGCTTCTCTTGAAGTACATACCGTCAACATCATTTTTTCTCTATGTTATAGAATCTATGTAAAGACCAAGTTTAGCCACATGTGGCTGGCAAATACTTGAAATGTGGCTAATGTGACTGAGGAACAGAATTTTTACTGTTACTGAATAACATGCCTAGAGTCTTCTTGATGGTCATAATACAGATTTTAGTGCTCAGACCGAGTTTAAGTATTTAGGCTGGCTGCAGCACCTCCTCTGGTATTATGTGTTGAGCTTGTTTCTTTCTATGACAATTGCCCTTTCCAGTTAAATAATGTTGTTGCCACTCAGTGGTAAAACTGTTTTTATAAAAGTTAGGTGTTTGTCAAATAGCATAAATTAAAATAAGTTCTTGATCACTTTTCTTACGAATGCAGTTAGGTGGTTATTTCTTGGTGGCAGTGGATTCATGAGTGATCTAATAAAAATGTGGACCAGTATAATGAGAGACATAGTGAAATTCTTGAAAGTTTTATTTTTACCTTGTGACTTGAACTTTGAAGAACTCTAAAGAGCATGAATATTTGAATGTTCAAATGTTTTAAAATGTCTTAAAAATACGTATATTATTAGTATCTCCTTGAAACAGCAGGGGAGTGAAGTGCCGAAAAATTTATGGTGAGGTATAGGGATGGATGGATAAATTGTAAGACGCCTTGTGGTGTATATAATGTAAAGGCAGGGAAGTAGTTAATGGCCCTTCTTCAGAATGTCCTTGGGGACTTAAGAATAAAGGTAATTTTTTTTCTTTAAAACAGCTTTTCAGCTCTGACACCAGCTTCTTGGAAACGTACAGATTATACATTGCTTGGAAAAGAATAAGCACTGTTTATTGTGCACAGTTTTCTCTCTCTCTCTCTCTTTCACTCAGTCACCAGTGCTTTCTTTAGGTGATTTCATAAGTAGACTGTATTCCAAAGAACAGCAAACTCCTGAGCTCCTAAGGGAGATGTGGGGAGCCTGGGGGGATCTTGATGGGAAGAAGGAATAGAGAGAAAAAAGATAAAGTTTGTCTTTTACTTTCTGGTGATCAAATAGGAAAGCACAGTTTGTTACTGCTGTTCTCTTTCTGGATTAATTAAAAACTTATATGAAACTGAATCAACATTTAAAACACATTTTTTCCCTTACACAATTGGAAACCATTATTACTCAGTTCTAGCCATAATATTTGTTTTTCTTTCAAACACAGTTTTATTACTTAAATTTGTTGATCTAGGGGGTGATCAAAATATTCAAGAACTATTAAGTCAGCTGCGTGTCATGTTGTAGACATTGTTATAGCTGAGTACATACTATGTACCAGGCACTGTGCTTTATATTTATTTCATTTAATCCAGGAAAATATTCTAAATATTTAATGACTACTAATAGGCACCAGCAATTCAGAATCATACTGAAGCAGGGTCCAGAAATCTTCTTAATGTGCTAAGAGTTACTCTTTCGTTTCTGAATTTTGGGAATCTGTGGGTCCCAGGGAAGGGCCTAGGGCAGCAGGCTGAACACTTTGGGACTTCATGCAATGGATTTTTAAAAACTGGTATGAGAGTAGGGCTTCGTCAGTGTGTACTAGCACGATATAAGTCTGAGTTTAAACCTCTCAACAGCCCTGTGAAAGTAGACAGTATTATCACCATTTATGGGTGAAACTGAGGCTAAGTAAAGTTTAGTAGCTTGCCAATTGGTTATGCAGCTAATGACTGCCTGAGCCACGATTTGACTGCTGACTGCTGGGCTCTACTGCGTCAGTTTCTTTGAAGACAGCCCTGCAGTTACATGGAAGATGGAATGGGAAGGGGACAACATTGCCCATGCTGCAGTAATAGTCATTGATTGAACTGAAACAGTTCATCTTTTAGAAGCAGTACAGAAAGGTCTTACAGTAGGTTTTATGGT